ACTCAGGAGCTACCATACAAAATACTAGTGTACTCTCACACTCTGTCCTACAAGTGCAATGTCATGGCCTCTCCCAATTCTAAACTCCAATTCCCCAAATCAGAGTAATGACTATATATGCAGCTTTAGCATTTCATCCTTATGAAGTTTTCAGACTTACAGCCAAATATATATTGAGAAAGCATAACATTTTTTCATAAAACTAAAGACATCTATGTTTAGTTCATGAATTCCTTTTAGTTCTACAAATGAGAATATGTAAATTCCTGAAGTCCTCATAAAAATCTTCAAAAACTTCCAAAGGGGGATGGAAAGATGGCATAGTAGTTTAAAGCATTTGTTGTTCTTCCAGCAGACAGGAGTTGAGTTCTCATCACCCACAGGCAGCCCTCAACTATCTGTAACTACAGTTCCAGGGGATCTAGCACCATCTACTGACCTCTGCAAACACAAAGGGTGTTTGCAAGTGGCACACATACATACATGCACGTAAAACATTCAGACACACAAAATACATAAATAATTTTTAAAACTTCCTAAAGAATTTCTGCCAACAAGGAACACACTAAGGAATAGTCAGTTGCTTTTATCTGAATAGCTTAAAAGCACAATATTGTATGAGTCTTTAGATAATGCAAGAAAATTAAATTACAGTCAAACATTAGAAATATCTATTAAGTTCAATTTCAGTACAGTGAAGTAAAGCAAATAATTCCTGTACAGTAGGTCTCACAGTTATTTTTAGTTTCTCACTACATTGAAAATTTTTTTCAGCCAGGTGGTAGTGGTACACACCTTTAATCCCATAGCACTTGACAGGCAAATCTGAAAGTGAGGCCAGCCTAGTCTACAGAGTGAGTTCCAGGACCTGGGTTCAAATCCCAGCACCCACATGGCAATTTACAACTATCTGAAATTTCAGTACAAGGGGATCTGATACCCTTACACAGATATACATGAAGGCAGAACACCAATGTAAATAAAATAAAAAAAAAAAAACTAGTGTGTGTGCTACGTTACTGAAACATAATACACTGCTAAAAATTGTCAACAATTACCCTTATGTGAATCATAATTTTTCATGTTGGTATAATGTATACACCTTACCCTTGTTCATTCAAATACTGATTTCCCCCCCATCCCACCCCCAACTCTCTGGTTTCAATCCGGATATTGCATTGTGATACTCATTCTAAGCATCCTGTCTCAACTCTTGTGTAAACAGGACAAAAATAAAGCAACTAGACACAATGTTGAGCAGGGAGGAGGCAGAAGACAGGAAAGAGGGGAGGAGCCAGAAGGCAGGAGATGAGTGGGAGGAGAAGGGGCAAGAGGAGAGCGAGAAAGGCAGAGCTGAAGGAGAGATCTTGGAGGACATGAAGCATGAACCAGACCTAAGATTTCACAAAAAGCAAGTATAATGTGGGAAATCTAAATGTTAGGAAACTGAGGGCTTGGAGGTTTAGGAGGGAGTACATATTGCCCAGCATTGTGTTCTAGGTTAACTAAAAACCCAGTCTCTGTGTGGTGATTTGGTTATACAGCTGTTTAAGATTAGCAGCAAGCTTTACTAGAAGATAAACCAATAGTAAATATTAACCACTTACAGCATTTTCATAAGACACTAATCAATGTTTATGGCTAGTGCCTGATTAAGATGCTGATTGCTAATGGCTGAAGGTTGTGGTAATGTCGTAAAATGAGGCAATAATGAAATTATCCACATCAATTGACTCCTTTCATGAAGGATGCTTCTGTAACATTTAAGTTATATGATAGCTTACCTACAGAAGAACATTAAAAGTTGGGATTAATCTCTCATAGCCTACCACTGCTTCACCAACTAAGTTGATACAATATTGTAAATCTTTTATTGCCATGAGACCCACTCCACTTCAAGAACTACCTTCTTGGGCTGAAGTTGTAACTCAGAGGCAGTGTTAACGTTTCTTGCAAGAGGTTCAATCCCCACCACAGCGCAGCAGGAACCTTCTTTAATTATACATAATAAGCAATTCTTTTGCTACTCAAGTTTTATTGGGAAATTACAAAAACTGCGTCACACCTTCAAGTTCTGCTTTGAGTGCTTGTATGAGCTGTGTCACCTCTGCAGTTACTCCATCCCTGCAGTCCTGAAACACTCAGTCATCCACAAGGACTATTCAACTCCCAAATTTCTATTAATGTTGTTATTTTAATCTCCTCCTATGAATAAAAAATGTTCTTACTGGCACTCAAATGGAGAATTACTTCCATAAGGTTTCTGATTTATTCTACCTAGTTTCATCAAAGGATTATCAATAGAAATTATAGCTTTGAGGCTGGAGATGGCTCACCAGTTAGGAGCACTGGCTGTTTTTCAAAGAACGGGGGTTCAATTCCCAGTACCTACATGACAGTTTACAACTGTCTGTAACTCTGTAACTCCAATTCCAAAAGATCTGACACCTCCAGACAGACAGACATACAGGCAAAAAACACCTATGCACATAAAACAAATAGACAGATATAGATCTTTTAAAAATTATAGCTTTGTGAAGTGTATTTCTTAAATAATACAACTTGAAAGTCCAAACCATTCCTCCTTCCAAGACTACTAATGGATATTTGATTAACAGGGATGATAGTTAAGATATAGAAAGGAATCCTTTTATCTAAGCAGTAGGACAACAACAAGCTTAATGTACTCAGTAAATCATGTATACTGGTATATTGCCATTTAGGTTCCACTGTTCCCTTACAGGGCACAGACAGAACAAATTCCAATCTAATCCTTAAGGGCCTTAGAATTTTCAGAATGGCAAATGAATATTGGTTTCCCCTTAATTTCACCAGCTTATTTGCCCTAAACTAGAGAGTAGGTTTGTTCTTTGATGCCAGGCACTGATTTCTCTTCAAGGTGCTAAACAGCATCTTCATCCAACAGAAGCTTCACTTCTGCATAAGTCTGTTATTTGCTGTAGCCACCATCATTTTAGCTGGCTAGGGCTTCTAGACACCTTGCTGCTTAACCTTCAACTTCTATGTTACACAGACGGCCTCTTTCCTTAAATCTGTCTACAAGATTCTCACTTCGTAGCCCTGGCTGGCCAGGTTGACCTCCAACTCGGAGAATCTTACCTTAAATCTTATAAACCAAATTCTGCTAGCATTTTTCTATAGCTTAACTACTATAGTTTAGATCTGCAAACTTTTCCCCAAAACAAATATGTAAAAGGCTTATTCCTTACTTTAGAGTTATTGGGAGTTAGTAAAAGTTTTAAGATAGAGGCACTATCTCAGGTGCCACTAACTAGGTGGTCTTCCTCTCATGGCAGTGTGACCTCAAAGGCAGCCTCAGACCTTCCTCTTCCTCTTTCTTTTTCCTACCAGCTTTGAAGTGAACCAGACAGTTCTGCCAGGGTTGCCTCCACAATAATGTGTGGCTATTAAGCCTAAAGCAAAGGGAATTTATCAATCACAAACTGAAATCTCCAAAACGTTTAGACAAAATAACTTTTCTCTTCATAAATTAGTTAAGCTAGTGAATTTGTTACAATAGGAAGACAACTAACACAAATTCCTTTCTCAGCCTTCATAAAATTGAAGAGAGCTAGAGCCCACATTATGCTTTTACTTTTAAAAGAATGTCCCAACCATTCTGATCATCTATCCAGGCAACTAAAACTTTCTTCATGAGCGATCTCATTTTACTCAACACAGGATTAACAGGGATGATTTACACTGCAAGCTGAAAACCTGTATCATTCTTCATAACAGACCATTAAGCTTGTCACACAGATCTGTATGAAGCCCTTTATAATTAAATATAATAATTAATTAAATAATATAATGAACTGCACTCTTAACAAAACTGAAGCCATGGGATGACGACTAATCACAGTGATAAGCTCAAATCATTGATAACTTCAAACATAAAATTCTAAAATGTGAGCTGAGATATGAATGTTGGGATTTCCACATACAATTGTTAAGCTAACTGATGACTGTGAATTTTTTGACAATTTGCTTGTGACTCAGCTTCCTAAATTTCAAATGAATGTCTTATCTTACTGTTAAAATTATACCTAAATAAAGCATTTAAAACTCTGAAAAAAAAAATAAAGCTAAATGTGAAACCCATCTTAAATATCCATAATGTTCAAAGACTATAATGTTAAAAGGCTCAAATTATCAAGATTTTAGAGTTGTTTTTTTTTAATGGAACAACCAAGAAACTGTTCACTGATAAGAATAAATCAGTCTAAGCCAAATACTGTGGTCTTAGCTTTTGCCATGCCTAAAACACTACAAATAAATGGTAACTGGTAAAGGACAGTAAGATTATTTTAATTCCAAATAAACACAATGATATAAATAACATGTAGTTATTTATATACAGTATGAAGCTCACTACTATAAACATCAGCCTAGTTTTATGAATGTTAGAATTTTACTTGTCTCCTATCATTAAAAAAAAAAAAAAAAACATCAAAAAGTAAGATAATGAAGACAAAAAAATAGTTTTAGTAAAAGTACAAGACAAACTGTAAAATGAGTAACACGACTGCCGAAAGCAGAGGTGAAAAGAGGAACATGTGCTGCAGGGACCTGAGAAAGCTGTAGCTGAAATAAAAAATAACAATGAAGAAGAGGGAGATGGCTTATAGCAGCAGCAACAAGGTACAAAGGCTTAAACTAGAGCTACCTAGCTTGGTCCTAAATAGAGAGGACAGTACTAAATAAGGAATCATGTAAGTAATATTTATAGAGAAACTTCTCTTTGTGGCTATGGGCAGCCTAACACTGTGTGATGGATCTATTTCCATTGGCTAGGGCAAAATAGAACAAATGAAATAAAAAGAAAATCAAAGAAAACCAAAGAAAATCACTCACAAGAAATTGCTGCAAAGAATAAAAGAAAACAACTACTTCACTAATTAATAAAACATAATTACAAAATCAACTCTAATTTGGGACTTAAAACAATCGCAAATAAACCAGCATAACTAATTACTTACCTCTGATTCATATTTCATTTTTTCTTCTTCTGAAATACGAGTAAACTCTTCTTTCTGGTGTTCAAATTCTGACTTGAGAAATGTATGCTCATAGCGAAGCTTATTATATTCAGCTCTATACTTTTCCACTTCCTAAATTATGAAGAGATTGCAATGCATGACAAATTTGTAAGTGAAATTTGTACCCTCTCCAAAAATCCCTGGACAGTATAATTTTTTGTTATATTAACAGCCATTCTGAAAGGAAAAAATAAGCTTAACAGAAACGCAAATGAGAGCAAGGGTGCTGGCTCAGCAGTTATAATGCCTCCTGCTCAAAGGTTCTGAATCCCAGCAGCAATGTAAATGCCTGATGGACCTGGCAGCCTGCTAGTAACTGCAGGTACTGGAAGGCAGGGAGAGGGGCCTGTGAGCACATTAGCTAGACAAGCTGAATCGGTGAACTCTGGGTTCAAAGAGAGGACCTGCCTCATGAAAAAGGTGAAGAGTAATGGGCGCCTGACATCAACTCTGGTCTCCACGCATGCACTTAAACATGTGCCCACCCACCCACATGTGCCCACCCAACCACATGCAAGGGCACACAAACATCATGCATACCACATACATATACTTTTACCCATGAAAAATGGAAAAGATTACAACTACCCTCCTTGGAATGTACCAATAAAATTACCACGCAAGTAATGTTTTGTCTGGTTCTCACTGTAATAACAAATGTATAACACAAGACACCACCTCTGAATGTATTAGCTAAGAATGTAGATTGTCTTTCAAAATACAGCTAGACTGTAACAAGTATAGCAAAGTATAAGCTATCCCTATCTGAAAGTCAAGCAAGATACACTCAAAGTAGAAAAAGGTTATTTGGACACTCGGTATACTAACCTAAGCTTTAATATAGCATTCCACCTCTCCTAACCTACAGAAACACCTAGGGTGCTCTAATCTTGCCACCTAACAATCTATAAAAGCTATTGGCACTCTCAATCCTTAACAAGAAACTTAGGCAACAGAGCACTCAGGTATAGAAGATTCAGTTTCAATAAGTACCAAGAAACAAAGCAATAATAAAAGTAAGGCTCCTGAAATAATACAATTTAATAATTTTGTAGCTGAAAGATTTCTAAACCAATTTATAAATAAGAAAATGGGGATACTGATGTTACATGAAATACACACCATGATTTTAAAACCTGTTCTTATTTAACTTTAACAAACCTTTGGTATGAGTAATCTTACAAAAATTCAATCTATACTCAAAGCACGACAGATACCCTGCCATTAGGATACATTGCTGCTACAGGCATAATGTAAAAAATCAAGGTTATCAATTAATAAATCATTACAAAAGAGGATTTTTCTAAGCATTCCTGCACAATGGCAGTATTTTTAGACTACTCCAATCTCCGAAAGGGGTCCGTTTTGATGAGAACAATAATGATTCATATGTATAAGATCTGATATATGTTTTTAAAAGTTAGCATATAAAACGTCTAGGACAGTACCTACTTCACTTCTCTGCACTCTTTTCCTGTCATCTTTATTAAAGATTTAATAATATAAGAAATCTGGTCTCAACACACAGTAAAAATACAGAGTATTTTTCTTTTTGAGGTTGTGTGATGGTTCTTATTGACGGCCCACTTGACAGTCATCTAGGAGAACACCTCCAAGCATACCTCTGAAGGATTGTCTAAATCTGGCTAGCTTTTGTGAGCACCTGTGGGGACTAGGCAGTTGAGGACAACTGGGGTGGGAAGGCTGACTGTTAGTGAGGTGCTCAACGTGCTGGGGCCTGGGCTGAATAAAAAGGAGAAAGGGAACTTAGCACAAATATTCATCGTGTTCTGCTTCCTGGTCGTAGATTCAGGGAGGTCAGCTACCTGGGGACCCTGCAACCAAGGCTTCCCTCTATGATGGATGGGGCCTTCAACTGTAAGCCAAAGTAACTTCCTTCTCTAAGTTGTTTCCTTTTGTTGGGGTAGTTTACAAAAGCAACAGGGGAAGTAGCAAATCCAGTATGCATGAAATACACCCTTCCACTTGACAAATATCATTTCACCTACTGTACATTAGAAACTGTTCTTAGGAACTTGTCAACAAAAAACAAGTTCTTCCTTTCATGAAACTTCCATTCTAAAAGTACTAAAACAAAAGTCACAGTAATTAAGCAAATTAGCACATTAGAAGATAACAGGTAATACAGAAGAAGTAAAATAGAGGGGGAAGTAAAATCCACAAGTTTAACTAGTGGGAGGAAAGCAGGCTGTAATGATAACTGGGGAAACAGGACAGGAAGTGGTCAAAGTAGGCTTAGTGAAAAAGCAACATTTTGGCAGATTTACAAGAGATTAAGGAGTCAGCCAAAAGTGATACAGTGAGATATATATACATATATATATCCAAAGCAGATATAGCACTGAGGCAGACTCTTGAATCACACCATTTCTTCAACGTCAAACAAACATCAGGAGACCAACCTAGATGAAAGAAAAGAGAACAAAGAGATAATGGAAGCCAACACTATGACATCCCAGAGACCACTGCAGGGACTGCCATGAAGATGATTTGGGTAAATGAAGAATGCTTTTCATGAAGATATGACAATGAATGCAGTTATTCTCCTTAATTACTTACTTCATCAAGAGTCCGAAAACGTTCTCGCATTGGAGCTTCTAATTCTTGTTGTATTTGGGCTTTTACCAATTCCAATTTTTGTGGTGTTAATACCTAATATATCCAGAAATACAAACAACTATAAAAACAAAAATAAAAAATTTTCCCTATTGAAAAGTCTCTTCTATGACAAATATTTATTAAAGGCATTTGAACACTGGTTAACTTTTATAATCATTAAATATGACTTATCAGGGCTGGGGAAATAGCCCAGCAATTAAAGCCACAAGTGTGGTAAACTGCCTATAATTCCAGACTCAGAAGATGGAGACAGGGACAGCCCCCCCCCCCCCCCCCCCAGAGCAAGCTGACTAGCACGACTAGCCTGTGTCAGCCACCTCTGGATTTGACCTAGATCTCATCTCAATGAATAAGGTACAAAAGCAACTGAGGATGGGTCAACCTCAGGCCTCCACATGCACTGGCACATACACGAACGTCTCTTCACACGTGCTCCCACAAATATGTAAAAATATGCACACACACACAAACATACACATACACACAAATAAACAAAAGAAAATAATAAACCCAATCAATCCCTGAAACAACACTTTAAGAAATCTCAATCTTGATATCAGAGACATCAAATATCAGAGACATCCAATTCATATGACCAATGAAAATCACTGATAAGCTTAATTTGGGTGGTGGCAACAGATACCTTTAATCTCAGCACACAGGAGGCAGAGACAGATGGATATCAGTTTAGGACTAGGCCAGCCTAGTCTACAAAGTGAGTTCCAGGACAAACCCTTGTCTAAAAAACAATCAAACAAACAAAAAAAAAAAAATCACTGATAATTTTATCATTGTTAAGCATTAACTTGTCAGCTAAGTCTATTGTGCTAGATACAAAGACTGGTAGCCTATTTTCTAAAAATAAAATAAAGGTATAGTTATTTGTTATGCAAGAGAAAATTCTTCAGACTTTCTTTTAATAAAAATGGGGATTAATGCAATTATACTATAATTTTTTTTTTTTTTTGAGACAGGGTTTCTCTGTGTAGCTTTGGGTGTTCTAGACTATCTTTGTAGACCAGGCTGGCCTTGAACTCAGAGATCTGCCTGCCTGTGCCTCCCTGAGTGCTGGGATTAAAGACATGCCTCATGCATGCCTTTAATATTTAAAAAAGAAAATTTTAATTATTTTTTAAGAAAAGAAGACTAATTGTTGCTCTGAACAACAAAACTATTTTGGCTCTATTCTGTCATACTTTCTTATAGAACTCTCTTTAGTGATAATTAATATTTATGTGAGCAACATATGGGCAGATTCTTTGTCGCTAAGCTTCATCACTATTTTTCCAACACCTTCCATCACAGCCTATCATACAGGAACTACTGATTTCCTGTTTCATGAGTCAATGAAAAGAACAAATGAACAATTGCTGGCTTGAAAAATAATATAGCTCCCATTTATATAAGTTTCTTTGAAAACATGAATAATGTTCAGTTTCATTCATTTATGCAACATTCCACAGTTGTTCAAAATACCACAGTCTACTGAATGAAAGTCTTCTAAATATAAAACATTATGTAATGTATGATAATTTACGTACCATTCTATTCTGAGTGTCTTACATGCAGTAATTGAGCTAAACCCTACAAAGTAGCTACATGGATGCATACAAAGAACTTAAACGACTTTCTAAAGGTTGTAAAGACTCAAACGAAGCATGCATCTTCCCATAATAAATTCAAATTCTGGCATGACAAATAAATCGTACACAACAAGAATGTAGCAAACAAGAGCTATTAAAAACTAAAACCGGAAAAAAAGATATTTCAGGTAGAGAAATGAATGTGTACACACAAATGGCAAAGTTGAAGCTTCAGCACCAGCAAGCCAAGTGTGTGAGCTCAGGTCTATGAATTGCTCTCAGGAGATGGAGATGAGAGTGTGCTGAGTGTAAACGTCAGATATATAGGGAGACTGAAAACGAGAGAAGAGAAAAGACTGTGGCGAGAGGGAGGTACAAAGAAAAAGGAATACTACAAGAGTCAGAGTTTAAGAAAAACAAAACAAAAGCTTCAGTGGGAGAAAAGCTGTAGCTATGAGAGGGGATGTGAAGAAGCTAGAGAAATCAGGCATGGCATCATTTATGGTATCAAGTCCAGGTGGCAGCAGAGCTATACTAAGGAGGATGGTAACTAGAATAAAGTAATAGGGTCTTGTTTTAAACAACTTAATTTTTTTAAAAAGAGAGAAGCAGGCAAACCTAGAAAGAGTAAGGAAATCTAAACTAAGATGAATAAAGGTATTGCACAATATAAATTTCAGTGTGGTAAAAATATGACAGTTACACTTTTAAAGGATGTAACAAAGATACATACTAAATTAGTTAAAACTAAAACAATCTGGTCTTATTTGAATTAATGTGCAGAGAGTGACAAAAGACTGAAAGAAAAGGGAGAGAAACTAGCACAAATGGCCCAAGGATGATAACTGTGCTGGATACATGAGGATGCACTACACCACTTCATATTCCTGTACATGTAGGAGATTTCCATAATTAAGAGTTAATTAAAAACGAAAGGCTTTTAGGAGCCTTTCTGGGTTGCTTCACCCAGCCTTAATATGAAGGGAGATACCTTGTCTTACTGCTACATGATATTCAGTGTTTGGTTTATGTCCAAGGGAGGCCTGCCCTTTTCTATTTACAGAAACAGAGAAGAGCGGATGGGGATGGGACATAGAGGAAGTGGGGGTAGGTACTGGGAGAAGAGGAGGAAGGGAGAAACTAGCTGGGATGTTAAAAAGATAATAACTTGAAGGGGAGTGGGAAGATGAAAGGTTTAAACCTCTAGCCAAAATGATATAAAAGCTAGGTATATCAAATTATGGAGAAAAAGAATTTCAAATGGTTTTCAAAATACCAGACAAAAGGCAAATTTTCAAATGATAGAAAACAAAGGTGAACACTGAGAGGCCCCAGGGCATGGAGTGCAAAGTGGACACAAGCAGAGGCTCATAAAACTCCCTAACTTGAAGGAACACAGCGGAGAATTCAAGGAGAACAGAGCGATTAGAGGTGCAAACAGAGGCAGGGGGTAATGTGCACAAAGAGCAGAGGTGTGCAAGAAATTTAGACTACTCAGTACAGCACTGATTTGAACCTGCCTGTAAGGAGACTGCTCATGCCACAAAAAGAACTACCTAAGAAGAGAAGGAAGAGAGCACTGGGCTTCACACAGCCTGTGAGTAATAACTGTTCCCCAAAGCCACAATGAAAAACTTCGTTTCACAAAGTTTTTGTAGGTCATCATGTAGGTCTTGCCTCAGCAGTGGGAATAAGTAGCATACTAATGGCTTCTCTAACCTAATACCCAAAAGCAGAGCCTAGAACCATAAACCTGTTTCCAAGTGACTAGACAGTGTCCCAGAACAAAGATCAAGAATATTGAGAGGAGCACAAAAACATCCAAACCTCAACAAAGTAAAAATCAGCTATTAATTAAGGCCTGAACTAGGTGGGTGGAGAAGTCCAGAAATGCCCTAAGGGGAAGGACCGCCTTACTGCATTCTTTCCCCACCCACTAGAGATACAGTTGCTAGGAAACCGGCCCATTCCCCCTAGGGAGGGACACCAGGTCATTATGGTCTGGGGACCTTCTTATAGCCCATCAATTAAAAATGTAGCATTTTGACCAATAGATGCTTGCCAGGCAAGAATCGCCCTTGCCTTGGGCATGCTGGGAGGGACCAGAATATATATATCACCCAACTAACCTGAGCAAGGGGCTCAGGAGTCTGTTTATTCCTGGTCTTTTGGGGTTCATGAACTGGGCAGAACAACTCCAAGGTCACAGAAAAAGACCTTAAAACAGTTGTTATAAGTAACCATAACTGAATCCCACATGTTCAAAAACTAGAGAGGAGACTGAATGGGCTAAAAGATAAGAAAAATTTAAAGGACCATAATTACAGAAATGAGATTCACAATTCTGAATTTGAAAAAAATACTGCCTGGGATTTAGAATAAACAATGCAGAAGAAAACATCAATTAACATGAGTAAAATGCAAGCCATAGAAGTTGTGTGAAACAAAATACAGGAAAAAAAAAAGAGAGAGACTAAAATTAAGTTAATAGAATCTCAGTAAGACAGGAGAAAACTAACTTAACACTTAAGTATAACTTAGATCTTCAAAAAATTGTTCAAAAGTAGCTAAGAGCAAAAAAGGCGAAAAAGACCTTGCTATGTGAAACATAAATGAGAAACCAATAAAACAACATCCTTAAGAAATTAAAGGGGGGAAACTATCAACCAAGAATCAATAGTCAGTGAAAATATTTTTACAAAACCTTTTTTTTAAGATTATTTATTGATTGATTGATTGATTGATTGTGTATACAGTATTCTGCCTGCATGTATGCCTGCAAGCCAGAAGAGGGCACCAGATCTCATTAAAGATGGTTATGCGCCACCGTGTAGTTGCTGGGAATTGAACTCAGGACCTCTGGAAGAAGAGCCAGTGCTCTTCTCCAGCCCCAAAATAACTTTTTCAAACTCACAGAAGCTGATAAAAATTCTCACTGCAGGACCACACCACAGTAAATGTCTTTTTTTTTTTTTTTTTTTAAGTCCCTGGGAAACAGGGAGAAAAAAGTTCATAAGGATATATTAGACAGAAGTATGGATGAAAAAAGGTGAGCAGAAGGACTGAAAGGGAAAAAGAGAGGGTAGTAGTTATGCATAAATAGTTCTGAAATGCAGTAGCCAAGTGCTAGACCCACTGATTCCGTTTCAATGCCTAAATAGGCCTCTGTGGTCCAAGGCTCAGCTTTCTGGGAGCTTGGCTTTTGTCTGAGGCATTCCTTTCTTTTGCATGAAAGGGAGCACATGTCTGCAACCCATTAGGCTTAACAGCCTTTTCTTTTGCCAGTAGAGTTTGTGGATCTATAAAACCTCCATTACTTTGTGCCTGCTTATCCATTTCAGTACAAGCCAGCAGAGCTTCTCCCAAGTAAATATCTGAAAAGCTTTGTGGGTTTGTGGGAATTTCTGAAGATTTCATCCCTAAACAGTCCACACACAGAGACCTTCTATATAATCCTATTTGCACTGTTATGCTTTGCCTGAGACTGCTAGATAATACTTCAAACTTCTTAGAGGTCTTCTGGTTTGAGTAAAAAGACAAAAAAGTATATATTCTCTACAAGATCCTTTCTCTGATTATTTTTGTTCTTTTGTTCAATCTGAGATCTTAAGACACAGCTGCAACTGGTGGATAAATATTTGATATTTAGCAATTTTACCTTTTGGAAAGGCAGAGAACTTCTCTGAAAAATATCCAGTCTATCTCTTTTTGTTCAAGAATTCTTCCTTTACTAATCTCTTTTACATTTTACAGCAGGCAACAAAAAACAAGTAGCACACTCTATGGTTTGATTGTACATCTTTGTATATTGGAGTAGTACTGACATTTTTGTACATGACATGCACGTGTGTGCAAGGGTACATGGATGCACAGGAGTGGAGATCATATATCCGTCAGGCTGCAGAGATGGCTCAGAGGTTAAGAACACTGACTGCTCTTCCAAACGTCCTGAGTTTAATTCCCAGCAACCACATGGTGGCTCACAACCATCTATAATGAGATCTGGTGCTCACTTCTGGTGTGCAGGTATACCTGCAGGGAGAATAATGTATACATAATTAATAAATAAATCTTTTTTAAAAAAGATCATATATCATGTGTCTGTCTTAACCTCTTGTATTTTGTTTTTTTGTTTTTTAAAGACAAGGTTTCTCACAGAACCTGTAACTAACTTAGCTAGGGAGCTTCAAGCCTCTACCTGTCCCTGTCTCCCACAAAACCCCAGCACCATCACCTGGCTTTACAGATAGGTATCACCATGCCCAGCAGCTTTTTATGAAGGGGATAGGGATCAGAGCTCAGGACTTCATGTTTGCACGGCAGAAATGGTACTGACTGAGCAACCTCTCTAGGCCCTTAAATCTTTAAGCTGATTAATCAACATTATAAGTCATTGTCACTTTTCTTATTAATGTTATTATCTACCCCACTAAAACAATTGGTTTCATTATGACATTTTCATGTATATATTGTTACTCTAGAACTTGTAAATCTTTTCAGCCGTAAATCCAAAATTGTCACTTAACAAATTCTGCTTTCTATACAATTACAAAATACACTTTACTAAGCTTCATGCACTATGTAACATGTTTAACAAGTAGTCTCTTTGCCTTTAGTTCCTAAGAACATGTTCTTACCTTGTGGACCTTAGAGTCCAGATTACAACAGTATAAGGAAAATCATTTAGGCATTGCTAAACAGCCTTAAACCTGATGGTGATTCTCATAATTCTTATCTTTATTGACTTTCCACTTCTATATTTGAGGCATTTGCTACCTTGTAGCCAATTTTCAAGTACTAAACTGGAGTAACATAATGACATAAACTAACAGACTTAAAATTATATACCTGTATTATCTTACACTATTTTTGGGCTAGAGCAGTGGTTCTCAACCTTCTTAATGCTGCAGCCCTTTAATACAGTTCATGTTGTGGCATCCACCAACCATAAACTTTTTTTCATTGTTACGTCATAACTGTAATTTTGCTAATGCTATGAATTGTTATATAAATATCTGTGTTTTCTGATGATCTTAGGTAACCCCTGTGAAAGGGTAATTCAACACCCAAAAGGTAGGGACCCCCAGGTTGAGAACCACTGGATTAGGGTACTGAGCATAGCTACGCTTATGCTATTTAATGTCAACTGAATGGAGCTAAAGTGTTAATCTCGCCTAGGACCATTTCTTTTCTAGCTTATTAAATGCTCAGCTCTGATGCTAACAGGACTGTGGTCCTTAGCTCCTGGAAATTGTCCATCCATCTGTGACATTGCTATTTTCATATGTAAGTTTGCTTCTGAGTCATCAGAACTTTGCTATTTCTCACCCTTGGAGATTTTTTAAAAGCTTTTATCGGATTAGTAAGATACGCTTTTGACTAAAGCTCATAAAAAATATGAAATTCAAAATGTTCCAATGCTGGAGCTTTTTGCATTATATGAGTGCTCAAAAAGTTCCAGATTTGGGACTTCAGATTTTGATATTAGAGACACTCAATCACTGAAATCTGAAACATTTCGAAAGTTGAAGAATTCAATTATCTGAATACTTCTGGTTCCACACACTTCACATAAGGGATCCTTAACCTGCAATAATAGCTAACAGGTACAGAGCAATTATGTGTTATACATCAAAGCACTAAGACTTTCTTTGCAGCACTTCATTTCATCTTTACAATTTACCCTATGAGCTAGGCACTTTTATTCCTATTGACTGTTGATGCAGAAACATTTTTTAAATAAATGTTTTTTTTTTTTGTATCTTTTGCCTATGAAAGCCAATAGGGCAGAAAATGCTACAGAGGCATTTATTTTACTGTGAGATTAAAAAAAATGTATATTTTAAAAATCATCTTTTATAATCTTACACTAAAATATTCCTTGTAGATGCTGTTGAACTTACTGAAGTTTTTTGCACCTGTGAGATGAACATGGGTGCTGAGCATCAAACTCGGGTCCTCAACAAGAGCAGTAAGCACAGTGGCCAGCACCAAATCTCTCTTTTTTGTCAGATAAATATTTAAAAACAAACAAACAAACAAGGAATGTTTGTAAAAAAAACAAACTTCCCTAGAAGAATTACATTTGTCAGCAAACACTGCCAAGCTATAAGACCCAAGGATTTTTAGCAAGTTATAACATCCAAAGAATACAAACAAAATCACAGGAAGACTACTTCACTTCAATATGAAAAAGAAAATGTTTGATATATACTAATCTGTAAATAATAATGTATTACTTTTTAAAAAGTTAACTAGGGGCTAGAAAGATAGCTCGGTGGTTAAGAGCTCTGGCTGCTCTTCCAGAGGACCTGGGTTTGGTTCCCGGCCCCACATGGCAGCTTACAAGCTTCTGCAACTATAGTTCCAGGGGGTCTGTCCTAGTTACAGTTTCTACTGCTGTGATCAAAGACCATGACCAAAAGCAAGTTGAGGAGGAAAGTGATTATTTGGCTTACACTTCCACATCATTGTTTATTAAGGGAAGTCAGGACAGGGCTGGAACCTGGAGGCAGGAACTGATATCAGCAGAGGCCATGGAGAGGTGCTGTTTATTCACTTGCTCAGCCTACTTTCTCATAGAACCCAGGAGCACCATTAAGCACTGATTAAGAAAATGCCCTACAGGCTTGCCTGCAGACCAATCTTAAAAAGAAAGAGAGAAAGAGAGAGAGAGAGAGAGAGAGAGAGAGAGAGAGAGAGCCCGAAGCAGAAGGAAACATAACTCCAGACCAGCTCTGCCTGCATAAGGAGGCCCCATCTCAAAGCAAACATTCATTAGGGTTCTCTAGTACTGAAAGTACAGAAGCAGAAGAGGGAAGCCCTATATACAATCTGCTCTACAAAGAAAGTCTGTTTTAGATGAATCTTAGTTTTCTAGGGCTGGCAGGAAAAACAAAATTAAAACCTGGGTGGCTAAAAATAACAGAAATTTTATTGTCTCAAGAATTTTGGAGGCTTGAAGTCTAAAATCAAGGTATTAGCAAAGAAATGATCTCTCTGAAACCTACAATAATCCTTCCTTGCTTTGTCCTGGGTTCTGCTGGTGTAATGTACAGGTGCCTCTATCATCATACAGCATTTTCTATCCCCCCATTTGTCTCTTGCATCTTGTCTCATAAAATGTCAATAACATTTGACTAAGGATGATATTAAATGGTAATATTCCAGTATGATCTCATCAACAATAATGCCTGCAATAAACCTTATTTTCAAATATGATCATATACTAAAGGATTAGGACTTCAACCTATCATTTTGAAGGATACAACTGAACCTGCAACAGATATGAAAGAAAACTAGACAACTTTGAAGTGACTGATACTCTAGGCATATATGAGACAATTACAGTTTAATTAAACACTAATAGAACAATTAATTTGATTCATTATTTATCCCATTCATTCATGGCATTCATTCAACAAATATGTATTTTCTAGGCATTATCCTAAAAGCATTGGAGACATAGTAAAAACAAGTTCCTGCCCCAGGGAGCCTCCATTCAATCAGAATGAAAATGCCATCATTTATGATTATCTACCATGTGCCAAGTACTTAGTCAAAATATATATTACTTCATTAGGTTTACAACAAAAAACACTGCTAGCTGTTACAAACACCACTCTCAAATATGAGCTGAGGTATTTCAGACAATGATCATTGGTATTTTATGGCCGAAAATACTCAAACTACATGTTCAGAACCAAGGCTGCAGTGAAGCATGCATTGTAATATAGATGACCGTTGCAAGAAACAACTCAGATTCATTAATGTTTCATTTTGAATCAATATTTGGAAGTTGCCAATTCTTTCGTGACCCCCACATTACTTACACAATTAAATATGAGGTTGGGGACTGGATTCATATCAACTACAGATACAGCAAAGTAGCCATTAAACATAAAGAGAAACACATTTACCAAAACTTATTTCCATTAATCTTACCAAAACTACTTATTTCCACTAACCACAAGACTAATTTTACATAAATTCAAATATACTTTCTCACCTGTAGTTTCATTTTTTCCAAGTCTTTAATTTTCTCTACTAGTTCCCCCCTTAATTCTTCAAGGAGCAGTTGGAACTTTTCCTGGTTAGTTTGCTTTTCATGTAGCACACGCTTAAGTTCATTTTGTAATTTTACGTATTCTTCCTGCAATCTGAGTTTTTTTAAAAAAAAATCAATTGTAAATATATGTTTACTTTCAAATTCACTGCTTTATATAAAGCCAACAAGTACTTAAAAAAAAAAAAAAAAAAAAAGACTGACTGTAAGACATTCCATTAAACTTGTAACTATTTCTCTTTCTTTCTTTCTTGTTTTGGTTTTTCGAGACAGGGTTTCTCCATGTAGCGTTGGTTGTCCTGGAGTCACTTGTAGACCAGATTAACCCATGTACTCAAAAATCCCCCTGCCTCTGCCTCCCTGAGTGCTGGGATTACAGGCATGTGCCATTGTGCCCAGCTATTATTTTTTTTTTCTTTATAAACTTTTATTTAATTAACACTGTAATTTCTGAAAGCAATTTTATTTTAAACGAGAAAACAAAACCATATTTATCCACCTGGATATATTTAATGTTGTATGTCTTGCTACTTTCAAAGAAAGATCACATTAACAACCCACTTAATACCATAGATTTGAACAAAGTAATTTAAAATATTTTTACCATATTCAGTGTTAAATAAGCACACTGTAAAACAAAAACATGGTATATGTTCCAGAGCAAACATTCAGCTAATAAAACTCCAGTCACAAATTTTAAACAATTACATCCACCCCCAATATTTTATCCCTAAGTTTAAGTTACCTTTTGTGTTCAATTTTCAGAGCCTGATAATTATGTTTATGATGTTCACATCGTACCCTTTCATCAATTAACATATTTTGAAACTCAGGTTCAGGATTAAGCCTACTGTCTCCACTAGGTGGAAATATACTAGGAAATGTGTCCATATTTGTAAGGTGGCTGATAACCATGAAAAGAATGAGCTGTGACTTCTGTATCGTTCTAGTTTTCTTCCAGGAGTATTTCCAACTTCTTTCTTGCTAAGGCATAATCCCAGGAGACCAAATCATACCTGCACAGAGAATATACATAAGTAATACTCAGTAATACTCAGCATTCTTTGGTTTTTACATAATTGTAATCAATTACTTCCAATATTTAGAAGTTCAGTTTTTAGATTTCTACCTATTCATAAAAATGCAAACATAAAGTTGAATCATAGGTTCATATTTTTCAAAACTCTGTAGCCACAGAGCTCACATCTTCAACTATTAATCAAAATGAACTTTTCCAGTTCAGTCATCTTTGATTCACAAATTAAGCTGCTTCTCAAAGCAATGTAGAAAACTTTCAAGGGTGGTCCTGGTATAAAATATACACTCTAATTATTAAGGAAAATTTTATATAAAACGGGGTAAGTGTCTGGAGAAAATTGTCAATCTTCACAAAGATGAGCTTCAGTAATAATAATCATGTCCACGATTCGTGCTGCAAAAGATCTCTGACATATGGCAAACTGCACTTGGGCTGCAGATTCAAATAGGAAATCAATCAGCACACAAACAATGAGCATTTCCTATGTGTTACAGACTCTGGCAAGAACTGAAGAGAAGACTAATTCACCTATCCCACAAAATATTGATCCAGCATTATAACTAAATGCTTATTGCATGTACAAGTTGAAAATGATGAGAACATATTTTTTATATAAGAAAATAAAATTAAATCAAATTACTCTATCCCGTTGACATCATTAATCTTTCTCTAGACCATTAATATATTCAAGTATTTTTTCCTTCCCTTTTAGGTTATCATGAACTACTTTCTATATGGATCTTTGGCTTATGAAAACAATTCTCTAAATTACTCTATCTTGCTTGAAATATATAAACTCTGATAAACTAGTGTCATGTCTACACATACATATGTAAAAATCCTCTCACAAACACACACTCACCTCTAAACTGAAATTGGCATTTAAATTATACTTTAAAGAAGTGTGTGGTGGGGGGTCCTTTAAGGACACTTTGCTCCCTGGTTCTTACTTACTCTGCTCATCCTCATTTTAAACATGGCTCAACCGACCATATATAAATACATTCAGAGATTTCAACTTTCCAGCCTTTCTAAGAAAGACTGCAAGAAGCTCACTCTGGCTTACATCTTCTACAGAACCTCTAGAGATTGCACATGGCTATCACACTGCCAGCCAGAGGGGGAAAAAGAACTTAGGGCAGAGTCCTGATTTCCAGCTGTATTTAAGAGGCTCACACTAACAAGCAGAAAGCTGAACAATGTGAAAAATCAAAAACTCTCCTTGGACCCAAATAGGAAATGAGGTCACAGGTAAACCATATCCACAAAACTGAAAAGGCTGATAGAGAAATTCAAGAATAACTGTACTAAAGAAGAAATGGACATGTACAATTGTTTCCAGGCAACGATAGAAGAAGCTCAAGTGTAATTAACCAATTGTTGAAAGCTTCTGGAGGACCCAGTTTTAAGTAGTTCACTTTTCTGGAACCAATCGGGTTCTCAAACTGGGGAAAAATCTTCCCATGACAAAGAGAAGGGACAGAGCAGCACTCTACAATAGACAGTGGGTGGCATTCTAACCTTCTTAACAAAGGAAAATTTGTTTAACTTAAAAGCCCAATCTGCTGTAGTACTAACAGAGCCTATGGCTTTGCAAAAGAAAAATACTACAATCTAAGTACTCTCTAGCCATCCTCTCCCATATGAGAAGGAGGGCAGGGAGACTGAATGTCACTGGCAACATTTCTAGCTCAGGCTTACAGTTCACCATAAGTCTGAACTTAATTATACAACTTAGAAAACTCTTCCCCCCTTCCCATCCATATAAAGGTCTATAACATATGTAGCTTACAATAATGAAATACTTACATCATTGTAATCTTTACATTAGAACTGCGTTTATGTATAGATACACTTACACAGAAATGTGCATTTGTGACACTGGCCGCGGAAGGCTGGAAGAAAGACATCCAAGTGCCTACCATGGGTACTACTATGATGAACGAATGTGTGGAGAGGTGGGAAAGAGAATATGTGGTAGGAAGTTAGAAAAGAAAGAGAGGCCAAGGGGTTCGTACACCGTGGAGGAAGGTGGAACTGGAGACTTGAGAGCAGTGAGGAACAGGCTGATACGAGGAGGCAATGGTAAGGTCCTGGTCTGGGCTGCCATCAAGGGCCATGTCTGGGTCCATGGTTATGATGCAGCTGGGTGTGTGTTGGTGCCTGAATTACCACCAACGGCCAAACAAATGTCTGAGCCACTGTGCTGAGTGTCGGCCACCACATCAGGACAGCTGGCCCTGCCCCACACCTGGGCAGCACAGTAGGAATGACCCTGGCACAGATGAGGCAGCCCTGAGGGTTAAGGTTAGGTAAGCACAAGAAAGCTGGCTCTGACCCCTGTCTGCTTTGACATTGGATGAGCTGGCCAGGGCAGTGCTGGAGAGCTCATCCTGGTGGTGCAGGAACAGAACTGGGGCGCTGACCAACTCAGCTACTTCCCAGGCCCAGATCCGAGGCTATGATTTTGCCCACCCCATCTTTGATTTGCTGAAGCACAAAAAAGGGCATCCTTCAGATCCAAAGCCTCAGGATCTCCATGACACAGGACAACAGGATATCCAAGAGGGGTCTCCACTCCTGGAGCTCCAATATCGATAGAGTTGCACAAGCCAGGGGCCTCATACCAAACCAATGACTCATTGCAACATTTCCAAGTAAAAACATGTGGATGAAAGGGTACACTGTGTGACACACTGTGATACACTACAGCTTCCACAAGGTTTTTTCTTTTAATATCCTACCTTATTTTGTTTTATTTTGGGGGAAGGTTGCAGGGTAGAGGGCAGACACAAAAGGGCAGGGAGATGAGTGAGACTGGGGTGCATGATGTAAAATCCATGAAGAATCAATAAAAAGTTTTTTTTAAAAAGAAATGTACACTTGTTTATAGGTATGTATGTTCACCTGCTGAATATAATAGACATTATATGACACTTCATTCAACCACGGAACATACATTCTTCTCAAGCTTACATGGAACATTCATTAAGAACAACACTGTAGCTCAGCATAGTGGCTCACTCCTTTAACCTCAGCATTCAGGAGGCAAAAGCGAGAGCATCACTGTGCATTCAAGACCACCTTAGTCTGTCAAGTGAGTTCTAAGACAGCCAGGGCTGCACAGACAGACCACATTCACAAAAAATAGAGAAACAGGAACCACATTCTAGCACAATATCACAACAAATTAAAAAGAATAGTAATCATACTGTGCTGGTTCTTAGACCAGGAAGGAACCATACAAATAATAGCAAGAGAAAGATGGCTGGAAAATCTGAAAATGTTTGGAAATTAAGCACCCTTCTAAATAATACACAGGTAAAAGAAGTAAAGCTTTGCTACTGGTGGGGATGAAACCTGATAGAGCTACTCTGGAAGATAGTCTTGCAGTTCTGACAAAATTAAACACACTCATATTATAAGATCTACTACCCCTGGCATTTAGTCAAATGATTAAAAACATATGTCCATATTTTTAAAAACCTGCATATAAGTCTTTATTTTTAATTATCTAAATTAAGAAGTAAATAAGGATGTTCTTCCATGAGTGAATGGATAAAATGTAGTTTAGATATACAAATTCAGGACTAATAAAGAATAAGCTATCAAGCTATGAGAAAAAAAATGGAGAAAGCACAAATGCATATTGCTAAGTGATAGAAGCCAGTCTGAAAAGACTATCTGTAAAGTTCCAACTATTTAACATTTAGGGGGTTGGGTCACAGAGGTAGTAAAAAGATCAATGGTTGTCAAGGGTTAAGAAGGATTGGGGGAAGGAAACATGCAGAAATAGTGAAACTTTTCTGTGATGCTATGATGGCAGATACATGTTTATAAATATTTGTCAAAATCTACAGAACATTACAAGAGTGAACCTTAATGTAAACTTGGGACTTTGGTTAATTAATAACAATGTGCTTATTTAGTTGTCCTGCCAACTGGGGAAGCTGTACATGTAGGAAGATGGGGTGTATGAAAAACCTCTGTGCTTTTAGTTAATTTTACTATTCACCAAAAACACCTCTAAAAAATAGTTTAGTGAGTTGGGTATGGTGGCACACGCCTTTATACTCCAGTACTCAGGAGGCAGAGGCAGGCAGATCCCTTTGAGTTTGAAGTCAGCCTGATCAACATAACGAGTAGGACACCAAGGGCTACATAGTAAGAACCTGCCTCTAAATAATTAGTTTTAAAAGACAGCTTAGTAAAAGAGAGGTACAGGCAAGGAATATGTGACAGAAAACATGCAGAGTCTAGGAGCCTGACATATTTCCTATCGCTTAATTCTTTATAATAAAAGAACCCCAAATTATTCTCTAGTATGGCCATTAAAAATGCTACATGGAAAAATTTAAAGAACTTATCTAAAACAGGGTTTTTCACCTTTAGCATTACTGCCATATAAAATAATACAATTCTTGACTGTTAGAGGGCTATCTTCTACATACATCTAGCAACATTCTAGTCTCCATCCATTAGATGCCTAAGAGTACCTCTTTCAGTTGTGGACCCCACACATCCACACCCCCAACTCTACCCCAGTAAGAATGAATGTCCTAAGAGAAGTAGGAAAAGAGACTTTGTAAAACAGGGGATTTAAACAAACATCAGTAATTGCACTAACATATGCAGAATAAATGTTTCAAATAAGGACACATTTAAAAGAAAAATCATAACTCAGCCATATGTTTCTTCACAAGAACTTTTTTGTTTAAACATAAGGGCAAAGAAAAGTTGAAAGGAAAAGAAAAAATATATTGCAAGCATTAATCAAGACAGATGTTAAATCTGTATCGTCAGGTAAAGCCAATTTTAAAGTTCCCCTCCCTCCAAAAACAAAACAAAACAAATCATAGTACTAGAAATAATGGAAGACATTCATACACCAGGCAGAGGTGATCATTTTAAATTTATATACACTTACTATGGCCACTAAATACATAATAGAGCTTGTAAGAGCTATAAGGAAAAGCA